TGAGGCCAGAAAGGCCATCACAACAGATTCATTACTTTGGCTTAAGGCTTCATATACCAATGAAATCAAAATATCCTCCCTGCAACCTGTTCCACCTTCCCAAACATATATACAAATCATTGATATACATATTATGAATGAGTTGGTATTCTCCAGAGAACATGGTAAGTGTAAAGAGCTTGGTGAGAGTAACAGCTGGGAGGAGATAGATAGACTTGGCCAATTTCCCCTTGTCAGTTAGGCAATAATGATGATGATAACAAAGGTGACCTTTATTGACTATGTTACCTCATCTTAACCTCCCAACACACTATTAACTCTGTCTTACAAGATGAGGAAACTGAGCTACAGAGAATTATGCAACTTGCCCAAGGTCACACGGCTAGTGGATAACCAAAGTTTGTCTACTTAATCTCTACACCATGTGCTTCTTTCTTTGGAGAGAAGGGGAACTATGGTGTTTCTCTTTTGTATATCCCTTTGAAACCAGACCAATCACAGTAGATTTGGCTGGATTATTATGACTACAATCTCTTAAGTCTTTTGTTTTCAATCCCCCCCCAAAAAAAATTGATGGCAGACAAAGGTACAGTAGCACCCGCAAAATTGTCTTCTGCAGCTTGGTGCCTGGACTCTGGTCTTTATTTGTATCATGAGAACGTCATTCTCCAGTCTATCTGTAAATGAGCAGTAATGTTGAAATTCATGGTTGTTTTCAGAGTGGAACCTCAAACAGCACTTTAAAAATCAGCAACACGTAACATCCCAGTACTTTTTAATTCATTGCTATTAAAAGTCCTCTTTGAAGCCAAATAGACCTTCCACATTCACATTCCAGAAATGCCCCTATCCCCTTTCCCTTTGCTTTGCCTGGAAAAATTCTTATCCCTTCAAGTCCAAGCTCAAATGTCACCTCCTTTATGAAGCCATTCCCAGCTTTTTTTTGGGGGGGGGAACAGAGTCTCACTATGTCACCCTCAGTAGAGTGCAGTGGCATTACAGCTCACAGCAACCTCAAACTCTTGGGCTTAAGCCTCAGTGTCCCAAGTAGCTGGGACCATAGGTGCCAGCCACAATGCCCAGCTATTTTTTGTTGCCATTGTCATTGTTGTTCAGCTGGCCCAGGCCAGGTTCAAACCCACCACCCTCAGTGTATGTGGCTGGAGCTGTAACCACTGTGCTACAGGTGCCGAGTCCATTCCCAACTCTTAAGGCAGAATGCATTAGCCCTCCTCTATGTCTCCACAGCACTTTTTATTAGCATTGCTAGTATAGCTCTTTTGTTTTGGTTAGTTGCTTACATAAATCCTTTTGTCCTCACATCCCCAGCCCAGCTCCTTCCATATTTTACCAAATCTAAAACTCCAATTGTAAGATACACCATTATTTCATAAACGACTAAGAAAAAAAACAGCAACAATTATACGATGCCATATCATCAATTTGGGGACTACATCCTGAATTCAGGAAAGTCAAAATGTTTTGGAAATAAAGCTATGGTACTTAGTGTTCAGCAAGTTATTATAGAAGTGGACTGTGAACCCAGCTGGAACAGATATTCCTAGAGCACTGTGACAGTCCATGCTTCCTACTAAGTAAGGGACTGGAAGTTGGTGGCGAATGGTGTCTGGTTGTGCTGCTGATTTCAAATATTTTGCCCAACAGATTAAAGAGATGAGTGGCCTGATGTGTCATCTCTGTTAAAAAACAAAGACAGAAATAAAGATCTTTGTCTCCCATTCAGTATACTAAAAGGTACAGTGACAATATATTCTGATCAAAATTGGGGGACACTTAATGCAACAAGAGTGATTACAGAGGCAATGGTGGGGACAGAATATTTGTGTCTGTCTTGATTCTGGTTACGCCAGTTCAACCCACTGCTGCTCCCGTCTGTCTACGGAAAGGACCAGTAGCTGCCCTGCAGCTTTCTCCCAGCTTTTTCCAGCCCTGCTCTTAATTTGATGTGATCCCTTCCCACGTCCAAACTGTTGGCTCTATGGCCTTGTTTTCCCTTTGTCCTTGCCATTTGAAGTTGGTGATTATATTATCTCCCTGGGTAATGTCTGGACCGAGGCTTTCAGTAGGGCCTTTCCATAGGGTGGGTCTTGCTGGGTCTTAGCATCCCACTCTGCCTCACCAAGAATCTGTCGTCCAGTTCCACCCCAGAAACACAAACCCTGCCCCCACCCTAGAGCTGGGCTAAACCAGGCACTTATCTTGGCTGAACCTCCTTCCACCACACTCCTTCCCTGCCCCCAAGCACACACACACATTCATGCAAGATAAACCACATTGTCGCTGAAAACCTTAAGTGTATGGTTGCTTGACAAAAATTCTCCTGGAATAAAAGTTCCTCTTTAGAAACAGAATTGTACTGAGAGGATTAAGCCTAGTGGCTTAATTAACACAATGCAAAATATTTTAAACACATAAGCAGCTCTGCACACCAGCATTCAGGGAATGGGGGTCTTTATGGGAGCAAGGACAAAGGGGTAATTTTTTTTTTTGAGACAAAGTCTTACTATGTCACCCTCGGTAGAGTGCTGTGGCATCACAGCTCACAGTGACTTCAAACCCTTGGGGTCAAGCAATTCTCTTGCCTCAGCCTCCCAAGGAGCTGGTACTACAGGTGCCCACCACAACGCCCAGCTATTTTTTTGTTGCAGTTGTCATTGTTGTTTAGCTGGCCTGGGCTGGGTTTGAACCCGCCAGCCTCGGTGTATGTGGCCAGCACTGTAACCATTGTGCTACGGGCACTGAGCCCAAAGGGGTAATTTTTAAGGGGCTAATAAAGAAGGAAGCATAATATGGCAAAGAGTCCCTAGGTTGCTTTTGTGCCTAGACTCTTGGTGGGAAGCAAAAAACCTGAAAGCCATCTCCCCCTTTGAAGCAGGCTCCCAGTGCCCAGGTTAAATTTATCAGGATTAAGACAGAAAGCTCCAAAGATTATCTCTTCCAATTTAGTCCAATCTTCCCAGGCCAGGCAATTCTTGCTTAGCCTCTGAGTCACCTTCGTTTGTCTCCGTTCAGTGCCATCCCCAACCTTAATGAGTAAAGAGGAAACAAGAGAAGGGAAGAGAAATAACCTCACTTTCTCTGTTGATTTATTATTCATAGTATTTGGAGATGTTTGAACTATAAAAAGGAGGCTGCTTACTTTGAAAGGAGGGTCTGCAAGGTAGGTCCCCCAAAGTATTAGAACCGAACACATCCAATGCCATAGGAGTTTTACTTCCAAACAGATATAGTTACACTTGCAAATAAAATAATTGAGATTCAATTACAGAACATCAGAACTGAACAGAATCTCGGCGATAGATCTGCTGCCTCATTTTATAGATGAGGACTTCCAGGCCTAGAAAGTTAACTAGCTAGTTAACGGCAGAGCAGGTACTAGAACCAAACTGTCCTGACTCCCAGTCCAGGAATTTTCCCATCAGGAAAGATACCTAAGCCCTTACAATTGCATCCTACCCTCAAGGTCATTATGAAAGTTTTGCTATCCACAAAATCAAGAAATATAAAATCCACGTAGAAGGAAACAAATGAAGCCCTCCCAGCCACATGGATAAGCCAAGCAAGTTGAAATTTGCAGGGGTGAATCAGAAAGGACACTGTCAATTGTTGTGTTTCTTGGAAGTGAAATAATGGACCAGAACACAGTCTGTCTCAAAACTTTTGTAGTGACCTGTGTAGTCTGCAATTACATTTGGTTCACTGGACTTAAAAACACCATGCAAATAGAGCTCCAATTACAAGAATTCTTGAAGACTGATACAAACAAATGCAAAGAATCAAGTGGCCCATCACTTCACCAAAGGATTGAGGTAGATCATCTCTATAAGTACAAAACAAATTGTCATTCCCTGAGCCCCTTTCATGGCTGGATTACCATATAAATCAAGCTGGTTCACTAAGAGCTTACCTAGACGACGTTCAACACCTTTCCCCGTGGTCCCAGCCAGACAGAAAACTTAAGAAATTTTCCCCTGGTCTAATTTTGGAAGAACTGTGTAAACAACGCCCCTTGCTGGTCAACATAAGGAAACGCAAAGCCACTGCTGACAAAAGCAGGGCTCTAACAAGGTCACAGCAATGTCTCTAACTCATCTTCTACTCTATGGGAACCATGGCCAGGTCAAAAGACAAAGCACGGGGAAAACAGCAGGGGGAAGGAAAAAAAAGTGCATTTTTTTTCCCTGAGATGTTTATATGTGCCTAACTACAGTTAGACCCCAAAGAAGGCAGATACATTTTTGGTATCCTACTAAGTCTGAACAGGCAGTTATCAGACCCATGTACATATGCTATGCTTATACACATAAGCAAGATTTTTATTGTTAACATCAATGATCACTGTGGGAAGACTATTCACGGGTCAAGTATCTATTACTCACAAGATCATAAAATGCAGGCCAGGTGTGGTGGCTCACGCCTGTAACCCTAGCACTCTAGGAGGCTGAGGAGGGTAGACTGTCTGAGCTCCTGGTTCCAAAACCAGCCTGAGTAAGAGCAAGACCCCGTCTCTAAAAATAGCCAGGCGTTGTGGCAGGCGCCTGTAGTCCCAGCTACTTGGGAGGCTCGGGCAAGAGAATCACTTGAGTGGAAGAGTTTGAGGTTGCTGTGAGCTACGATGCCAGAGCACTCTACCGAGGATGACAAAATGAGACCCTATCTTAAAAAGTAAATCATAAAATGCCTGTTGATTTGTATTCATAAACAATTTGATGAACCATTACGTGTTTTTGAGTGAAAAAATATATGTATATGTATATGAGATTTTCAAAGATTCATCTCTACTCGGACTCTTTTTCAATCACTGGAAAGAGAAAGCAGAAGGCTTGTGATTAACATCTATGTCTTTTACGATGCTCTGATTGGCCAAAAATGAAAATGATGTCTTATTAACATGCATTTTAAGTTCGTACACAAAGAAAACACAATACACACTGATTTGGCTCAACAACTTGCCTGAGGAAAGGCTTTTTTTTTAAGTTTTAAAAAAAATCCCCACTAAAGGGGTCAAAGGCACTTGATGTCGTTACCACTGAAGCGAAGTGTTTCCTAAGCAATTCCAGGGCTCTGTTATTTCTCGCCTGTAGGGACTTCTCAGCTCTTAGTTCATTCTTGATGGCATTGAGCTCTCCGCGGATCTTCTTTATTTCTACTTCATAATACAATTTCATTTCTTCTTTTAGGAGTGTATTTCCAACCTCCGTCTGATGTTTCAACTTCCTAACTGCGTCTTTTAAGTCTTTGTTTTCTTGGTCCAACTTCTGGATGACTTCTTTGGCTTGCTGGAGCTCGTCAGTTAAGGATTTTACGTTTCTTGATTTTTCAGATAGGTCATTTCTCAACGCTTGCATTTTCCAGTCGCTCTTTGAAGTATCCTTCCCTTTTTCTTGGAAATTTAGGGGTTTTGTGGGTACTTCCTTTTTGGAGTTCAAAAGCTCCTTCTCAGCACTTTCAAATTCTTCTTCTATCTTTCGGCATTTCATATTAAGTTCTTCTAGTTCTTCATTCAAAATATTCAGGCGAACTTTTGGAGACATTCCTTCGGTAAATTTCTTCCTCTTGTCCGGTGGTGGTGGACTTGGTGATTTCTTTGTATTCCAGGTAGAGGGCTCTTCTGTGCTGTTAAAGCTTGCTTCTGTTGCAATATCCACAACAGAAGATTGGCAGGAGACAGAATTGGTTGTGTCCACTTGACTCTTTGCCATGTTCATCTTTCTCTCTCTTAAATTTGGTTCTTGTTCTTTGTCATTGCGTTGGGAAATATATTCCTTCTTCTTAAATGCATTTTCTTCCTGAAAGTTTCGGCCAGACATATTGTAAATTCCTTCTGTTCTCTTGGTCACCTCTACAGTAGTTTGGGTTTGTTCAGAAGATTCAGGCTGAGAAGCCATTTCTAGAACATCTTGTGCACTAAAAAAAGGAGTAAACATATGCTCCTTCCAGTGTTTTCTCCTAGCATCCACTTCTTCCCGTACCTCTTCTAATATCTGAAAAACAAAATTTCAAATCCAGGCACATCATTTATACTGGCAGCTATTACAGAAGAAAGCAGCAAGAATGTTGGCTCACATGGGGGAAAAATCTGAACATTTGAGGGCTGGGTCTCCCTCTAACTCACTGGGTGACTTGGGCCTCAGTTTCCTCATTTATAAGTTGAAAGGGCTGAACTAGTTAAGTCCTATGGATACTTCCAGCTTTAAAATTCTTTGATCCTGTGAAATAGGACCAGTAAATGGACACATTTAGCTACTTATTCTAAGTAGAGTAGGAGAAAGCAACTGAACATGTGAAAACAGACTGCTTTAAAATAATTAAAAAAATTGAAATTAATAGATTGGTAATACCTGTGCTTTCAATATGTCTGATTTTTTTTCCTCTAGTTCTTTGGATTGGACTATTGTTTATTCATTCTTTAAAGTGACTAAAACATCAGGGCTTAATGAAATGTGAGCTGCTTTTGGTAAAGTATACCATGCAGACTTCCTTATGACTAACTCTGCCAACTGCCCTTGTGTCTTGACCTATAAATTCCTGCTATTCCAGTCTTAGGCTTTGCTTTTAGGCAAGACTGCCAAGAGTACAGAATTCTATCCGTTTTGACAGCAATTTCATGAAGAGAACCTAATGTCAACAACTGAAAATATTAATACCATCAAATGTGGTTTTCTCAAGATACTGACTCTGAGTGAAGTTTTTAGGTAAAAATTTAGTATAAGAAATCACAACAAATTCTGCAAATCTGTAAAACTTAAAAGATGGTTATTTTGTTCCAAAAAGAACCTTCCCTGTTCAAAGGGAATCCTTTCCTAAGGTACTGAAATATTGGATCAGTTAACTACTTCTGAGAGAAGGAAGAAAGAACTCAAACAACTTTGAAGGGATGCTGGCATCTGAAGCCATGGTAGCTGAAGGTACCCCGAAATGGTGAAGAGGAGAGGGTGACTTTAGTCATTTAATATATTATTTTACTCTATTTGTCACATCACCACTGAGAAAAATCAAAGTATGCCTGCAACCTGTTTTAACTATGCATGCAAATGTAATTTTCTCCTGGTAATGAGGAATGGCAAATGTCATGTCAATTTCTTAATTAATATTTGACTTATTTGTAGCGATTTTGGAGAATACAAAAAAGCCTCCCCAAACAAAAGAATTGTCCTTTATGATCCCATGGTGCTAAGATAGCTACTTTTTGGTATACTATCTCTCCAGTCTTTTCTGTTTAGAAAGAGTAGTTTATTTTAAATTACAGATTTTCCTTGCTATAGGCAATCAAGGAATAAACTTGATATCTACAGGTATCCCTCCCCCACAAAAGTAGAAACAGGGACTCATTTTCCCCGATGGTACATCCCTACTGGCAACTGTTTGGCTTTGAGGAAAAGTGAGGGTATAAATATTCTTAACATGAACTTTGTGGAGGGTTCAGTGAAGGTGTTAAAAATGATTGGTTCAAAAGCCATAAGCCGAGCTTAACTGAACTAGTTTAGTCAATCAGACCATAGTGATAAACTCAGACTTGAGATTCATATGCATTTGCCATTGGAGTATCATCTCCTTTCGCTTGAAATAGTCCTTTCTGACTTTTATTCTCTAGAAACATCTATGATCCAACTGTTCTTAAAGGGGAAGATTATCATCATCCTCATTATCATCATCCAATGTGCATGCAAATGAGTAGGAATTATTACAGCAATCATAAAGGAGAGGAACAGAGACAGAAGACAGGAAGGTGATGCCAACTTTCCAGTCACCTTATTTTAGTAGCTATTTCTTTTTACCTGATAATTTTGTAAAAGACGAAAATTCTAATCTGTTAGCAATGGCAGAGAGATTACTATTCCTCCTACCTAATTCTGGATGAAGGGCATTAGTGGGATTGATCAGGAAGGAGATAAGCAAAGGGGCAAGTAAAGTGAGGCCACTTTATATCTAGAGATAGCAATAACGACACATGGGAGATAGAGATCTGGGTATAGATAAAGGTTAAAATAGAAAACTCTTCTCATTAAAATTTTGCTCCATGAAAAAGTGACTGCTAGTTCAACTCTTCCATGAAGCACTGGCAAAACACACATCCACACTTTTAAATTTTCACTATAGTTTGTCCTTGAGCTTCTGTATAATTTCCTGGGTGTTTGAAAGGAAATGCCTTTCAATGAACCCTGCGTAGCCAATGCTCTTCAAAGAACTGGGAAGATTCCACTTATTTTATAACTGAGGTCCAGAGATGTTAAGTGACTTGACCAACACCACACAGACCGTAGTAGTAAAACCGAGGACCCTGTCTCCCAGGCCGGTGCTTGTTCTAAAACTCCTCTTTATTCATGTGTTACCTTTCATCCACAAATTGAAAGAAAACAACTTACTATTTTCAGAGCTTAGGTATCTTTTAAGGGCCACAAAAGAAGAGAAGAAAAAACGAAGGGGGGAGGGGAAGGAGAATTGCATGTCATATATCAAAGAACAGAAAGAGAAAGGGTTGAAAAGCCTTTTGGAATTTCCCTCCCAAGGCTTACACAGGGCAGGGTCAAAGGGTCTCTGAGCTGTTCCCTTTTCCCCCTCTCTTTCATTGGCAAGATATTCTTTAAGGGCTTGTTCCCAAATCTAGTCACAGACTGTGGCAAAGCCCAGAGTGGGGGTAAAAGCTGCCAGTCTCATCTTCTCTTCACAAATTGCACTGTTTGTTTTGTTTTTATATACAGAACAAGTATGGCATTAGTGTTCCTTGGCAAGAACAAGGAAAATATTTTGAAAAAAAATGACACTCCTCTACCCTGGGCTGGCCACCATTTTGTTCTCAATAAATTTGACTAAGTAACTTGTTGCAGCATAAGGCAAACTGAACCAGAAGCCATAAATGAAAGGGTAAGCATGTCTTTTTAGCAGGTCAGTTGTGAACACTGCATTGGGTACTGAAGGTCTGAAGGGTAGGGGAAGGAGGCCCACGAGGAACAAAAACAAGTAAGCAAGAACCCAGACCAAAATATATATATATATAAAGTCATATGACAAAAATAACATCAGTGCTGTAAGTCTAAGACAGCAGCAACCTCCCAGAAGTCCTCGGGACTGCACTGTTAAGGCATGGGTGTCTATAATGTGAATGACTATATCTATTCATTTGCATCCGGCATGAATTAATAATGGACTTCTGATGTTCTAGTGTCTCACTGAAACATCACCATTCATCCTCTGGTGACTTTTTTTCTTTCAGTGGCAAAATAGCAGGACATTTTTGTAGAGTAAGGGATCTCTCATCACATGGAAGTACTTTATATTCACCTAAAGAATTGGGGGGCTGCTGATAAAATAAATTGAAAATGAATTTATAATGTAATGTGATAACCATAATATACATTTTGAGAGCTGAGCATAGAGTGATGATCATTTACTATGGATCTTTAAGTACACTGTTCCACAAAAATCTGAGGTGTAAGCCTACTATCCTCAAATGGCTGAAGAAAATAATACACTACTGTTTATTGTGAAAGGAGAAATCCACAAAACCATCTCAGTTTTATTTTCAAGGTAGGGCCTTAGGGAGTATGCTCAAATTAAGGTGGTTATAAAATTTAATTACTTCTTTTCTAAAATATTCTTATTTTAAGTCAAATGCTGTAGAGATATTTGATGATGTAAATCAAAGATTTTTTTTTCTGTTGCTTTATCCCATGGACATTAGAATTTGATTTCAAATTTTTCAGAACCATCCCTTTGCACAAATACAGATCTACCTGCACAATGGAATTATTCTTCCAGAAAGAAGTGGTCATGGATTGGAAAACAGTTCTGTAAGAACACCAGAGGCATTGTCCCACCTCACAGCATCTTTCCTCTCAAACTTTGTAAACTTTCTTAACTGAGAAAGGTGGTTGGAAAAGGTCATCCCCAACCGTGTTGAGCAACTTTCTGTCACTACCCTCCACCCCTCAGCAGCTCTCAACTAGGGACAGGGCTTCTTGGTCACTGCCCAGAGGCAATAAGATGAAGACAAAGGGCCCCTCTGAGCACAAGGCACTTTCTCCCTCCATTCTTGAATGGACTCCCAAGAAAAACTGCTCGGCCAAAATAGGAAAAAAGTCTGTTACAAAGGAAGTCACTCGCTTTGCTTCTTTGCTCAATTGTCCAATTTGTTCTCACTTCAAAGCAGCGGTCCTCAACCTTTTCTTCCTGCCTTATGGTTTTAAATAAAATTTTATTCATCAAATTAGGCTTTTTACTAGAAGTTCTTACAATTTGCATGTAATTAAAATCAATTTCTGCATCTATATGGAACTTTAAGTGGCTGAGACTATACTGTGCTAGATTTATTAAAAGGGACTTTTTCATCAACCTTTTTGCCCCCCCTGCTTCCACTGTTTCTAGGCACAAAACACTGTCATCATGGCCCTCTTTCCAAAGGAGAAGATTCTGACCTGTCCCCTCTGTGCAAGAGTCTCCTTTCTCTACCCTCTTTCACTGACTTGCAGAAAACTGTTAGGACCCAAATGAATTGTTTGAAGTTAAGGTGGATCAATATGTTTTACTCTGCAAAATTGTGCGGAAGAAAGAAAGGGAATCCTTGAGAAAGGAATTGAGTATGGACGGTGGTAGAAAAAAAAGACTGGGCTCGGCGCCTGTGGCTCAAGCGGCTAAGGCGCCAGCCACATACACCTAAGGTGGTGGGTTCGAATCTCCAGACCGGGCCCGCCAAACAACAATGATGGCTGCAACCAAAAAATGGCCAGGCGTTGTGGCCGGCGCCTGTGGTCCCAGCTACTTGGGAGGCTGAGGCAGGAGACTCGCTTGAGCCCAGGAGTTGGAGGTTGTTGTGAGTGTGATGCCATGGCACTCTACCCCGGGGGGGATAGCTTGAGGCTCCATCTCAAAAAAAAAAAAAAAAGACTGAAGGAGTCAGATCTCTTGGTTCCACACTTCAAATCTGCATCAAGATTTACGTGTTGGGATTCTAAGATTATTCACCTGTAAAATAGAAACAATAAACCTATTCCATAGGTGGTTTAAAAGTAAATGAATAATGATGGAAATGGAAGCAGTTTTTAAAGAATACTGTAAACTATGGGTTTTGATCATTTTTAGGCTTTCTTTGCCCTCCTTTTGAACATAAACCAGCCAGTTAAACAATCTAACCCTTCTGCAAAGACATGGACTCCAAAGTGCCCAGCCTGAAGTCATCAGACCTCAGGAAAAAAGTGAGTGTGGAAAAAACGTAGGTAGTACTAAAAATGTATGTAAACAGAAGGGAACTTAAACTCCAATCTTGGATTAGTTTAATCTCCATCACTGGGGAAGAAGTAGCCCTAACTACTGTAAGTTAGTTATTGATGTCCCCAAATTTCTGAAGCTAAATTGATTCTATCTGAGAAGAAAAGCAGTCTTTGCTACAACCTAATATATTTGCATTTTTATGATCAATGGCTTTACCAAGAACTTTCAAAATGCTCCACTGTTTCTCAGGACCACTTCTCTTTTTTTCCTTTAATTTAAAGAGGTTTTATTCTGAGCCGAATTTGAGGATCATGACCCCCCAAACCACACCCAAGAAGCCTTGAGCAAGTGGACTCATGGTGGTGGGGTTACCGTTTGATTTTATACATGTCAGGCAGACAGGAATTACAGGTGAGGTCATAAATCAATTCGTGGAAAACCTACATTGGTTTAGCCCCCAAAGGTGGAACATCTGGAAGAGGGGGAGAGCTTACAGGTTATAGGTGAATTTAAAGATTCTTTAGGTGACAATTGGCTGCGTTAGGATTTGTCTAAAAGACCAGGACTCAGTGAAAAGGAATGCTTAAGATAAAGGGTCTGTTAATCAGAGACGAGAAACTGGATAGACTCAAGTGGTTTGTTATGTATACTGAGGACCTGCAGGTAGGCCTTGCATAGCTTAGGCCTGTTGATGAGTCACAAAGGACATCTCTAAGAAGGGCCACTTCTTTGAAATGCAGGAGTATTAGTTTGAAGATTAGCAAGGATGACTTTGCACTCTCGGCATTTCCTACAGACCTTTATTAGGCCAATACGCTATGATGACCTGGCATCTTACTTCATCTTTGTATCCTTGTTACCTAAAACATAGTAAACTTCATTAAATATCTGTCGAATGAATGATCCTTAATATTCTTCCTGAAAATTCTATAATGCTCTGATCCTAATGAAGGCTTTACAAAAATACTTGTAACTATTCCTCTGCCTTATAAAGTGTTCTGGGTGATACTTTAGGGAAAGGACTTTTATTTTTCCCTTGAAGTTTATTAGCTTAGCTAAAGTCTTCAGGACCCTTTTCTTTTGTATTTTTATGAGGCCTCCTTCCAAGTGTACTGTGACAATGCAGACTGATGATCTGGTTCCAAGGTTGAAGATTTATGTCGGGTAAGGCTATGTGCTTTTAAAGGTCCACAATAAGATATCAACCAACACAACTATACTTACATGTCCTGGGGTCCAGGGTCTTCTGCTGGATGTCATTTCCTTTCTTCTCCAGTTTGAACTGGAAAATAAAAAATTCCACCTCCCTCAGCATATTGTGAAATATAGTTACCAGAATGCCCAAATTCATGTTTATATCTGAGATGTAGACTAAAATTACAAACAACAGAATGTCATTTGGCCTATCTGAAATGTGATATGAGACAGAGGTTTCTCTTTTTAAGTTGTCAACCCATTTTCCTATTATGCCATGAAGTCCTCCTTCCGCTAGCGATGCAAATACCAAATGGGACAAGAATCACGAGTGACACAGTATCTCTTCATCTTTAGCACTTATTGAACAAAGGAGCCGTCACTGGTGGGGCAATAGTGGTACGCTTAAAGGCAACAGTATGCCAGGAAACTACATTCACAAAGGGCTGGATCTTGCCTCCCTTCCTCCCTGAGAATGTAGTTAATTTGAAAAAAACATTAAAAAGGGAAGTCAGGCCGCGCCTGTGGCTCAGTGGGTAGGGCGCCGGCCCCATATACCGAGGGTGGTGGGTTCAAACCCGGCCCGGCCAAACTGCAACAAAAAAATAGCCGGGCATTGTGGCGGGTGCCTGTAGTCCCAGCTACTTGGGAGGCTGAGGCAAGAGAATCACCTAAGCCCAGGAGGTGGAGGTTGCTGTGAGCTATGACGTCAAAGCGCTCTATGGAGGGCGACAAGGTGAGACTCAAGTCTTCTGATTTTTGCCTTAACCTTCCAGGGTTCTGACATATGGGCCAAGTGTTCACTTCACGGGACACATTGTCTTCCCTATTGTTCAGCAACTATTGAGGGGGAAGCAAAGTACCACTGAAAACCAGGCCCTGTGACCAGTTATTACCCCTAATTCTTTGTTATCAGTGTGAAATTATTCCCTCTAGAAGAAAAGATACTAGGGGAGTCACCTTACTTCCAAAGGCTGAGACTTTATTAGTATGGGAGTCACATTCTTGCTATAAAGCTGTATGTTTGTATGCATAGTTCGGGGGGGTTTCTCTGTAAATGGTTAACTGAAACTCTTACCATGCCCGCTTCCAGTGGAGCGAAGGTGGCTCGGGTCGAGGCGCTGCTCTGGCCCCCATTGTAGGTGACACTTTTTACTTCCCCTGTCCCAACTCTGTCGCCGGCGGGCAGCGGAAGAGGGCCGACCCCACTCCTGCGTCCACACCTCCTCTAGCACGCCGGGTTCCCTTTCCTCTCAAACACCCGCACTCTGGACCCCCGCCCCTTCGCCCCCAAGCCCCTAAGCCCCCAGTGCCTGGGAAGAAGAGGGGCGAGCCCAGGGGAGCCCGGGTTTTCCCTTCCGCAGACTTACCTGGAAGCGCGTGTGCGGTCTGGAGGGCACTGTTCCCTCTTTCCCGAAGCCGGCCACCACCGGCGGGCGGCAGCCCCTTCTTCGACGCCAGCCACCGCGACCCGGCCCGGCCGGCCCGGGGCTGAGTCTCTGCTGTGCAGCGCCAGCGCGGGTCGCGCCGTTGCCTAGCAACCGACAGGCCCTATTTAAAGGAACCTGGGTGCTAGGGACAAGAGCCGCTTGCGGGTGCTGCCCGCCGGGCAGTCAAAGCCTGGCCGGAGGCCGGAGCATGTCCGGAGAGGCGGTACCGCAACGGCTTCTCCCCCGCAAGAAACAGGAGCTCACGGGAAGCGCGCCGGGTCAGGGTGGGACGCGGCGAGAGACTGCGGCCCCACCCACAGTGCGGTTACTACGGAGGGTCTCTGTGACTCACAATGCACCTGAACCCTGTGATCGTAGCGGGGCGGGGAGGGCGTGGCCCCGGGCTAGTCCTTAGGCCTACTATTAGTAACATGACCTTGTGGAGGGTTTGTTCTGGAAGGTGGCCAGTTTGGTTCAGAGTGCCTAACAGTTTGGGAATCACGCCCCTCCTCTCCTCCCCTCGCACACCCTAGCAGATCCACACACTCATCTGACCTCTGCCCGAGAGAATTTCTGCCTCTGACCAAGGTCAGGAGAGCAGTGTGTTCTGACTGTGCCCCTTTGGGCTTGTATGTCAGCTAACCCATGGTTTCCTCATTCGACAATCAAGAGTTTCCTTAACCACTCTTTCACCTATTTGAATTTAAACTGCTTCTACCGCCCAGCGCGGTGGCTCACGCCTGTAATCCCAGCACTCTGGGACTCAGAGGCAGGCGGATTGCTTGAGCTCAGGAGTTGGAGACCAGCCAACTCTAAAACTAGCCTGGTGTTGTGGTGGGCACCTCTAGTCCCAGCTACTCTGGAGGCTGAGGCAAAAGGATCGCTTGAACCCAAGAGTCTGAGGTTGCTGTGAACTAGGACGTCAGGGCACTCTACCCACGGGGAAAAAGTGACACTCTGTCTCAAAGAAACAAAACTACTTTAAGCTACTAGATGTAAAATTGTTTCTTTTTATCAGTCCCCAAAGTACTCTCCGTGCTTCAAAGTTTGCTCACTACTCTCAGGATTTGGTTGGGACACACACACACACACACACACACACACACATATATTTTAGAGACTGAGTCTCACTTTTCCGCCCTCAGTAGAGTGCGATGACATCACAGCTCACAGCAACCTCCAACTCCTGGGCTTAGGCGATTCTCTTGCCTCAGCCTCCCAAGTAGCTGGACTACAGGCGCCCACCACAACGCCCGGCTATTTTTTTGTTGCAGTTTGGCCGGGGTCGGATTTGAACCCGCTACCCTCCGTATACGGGGCTGGCGTTCTACCCACTGAGCTACAGGCGCCGCCCCCATGACATATATTTTAATCACAGTATTTTAATGAATGAATAAATGATCTTCTCAGACTTTGATTGGCCTGGTTGCCAAATACTGGTTCTTCCTTCACCACGATGGACCTGGCTAAAGTTGAGGGACCCAAACAGTAGACCTGGGGTGTCTGAAATAGTGATTCTTAGGAAAGCTAGTATTTTCTAGGAAGCGGGAGAGTGAAAGGAAATATTGGCTCTTGAATCTCAAGCGAAAGGAGACTTAAGCACGTTTTTTACAGTGACGGTCTACTTTTTCTAGAAGGGCGTGACTTAGGAACAATACCGGGATACATTTCAAAGCTTCCAAACTTCTTGGGAACCGGATCTAACAGGTGTTTGGGAGCTGGCAAGGTTTCATTCAGGCGCCCTGAGGCTTAGTTCTCAGTCCCCTTTTTCCTCCTTAGAGAACCAAAGTCAACAAAGTTTGGAGGTAGGAAGACGCCTAATATCAATACGTGTTTTATTATGAACTCTGTCAGAATTAGCTTGTGGGACTCTGACAAAACTTCTTTCCTTGATATTGAGTCTCCGAATTGTCTTACATACATCGTTTGTTTTAATTATTTTCAAAGGATCCCATTTATTTTTGTTTGAGGTAAGATCCCTTCTTAATGTAATAAAAGAATTTTTCCTAATTGCTCTGTGCCTCAGTTTCTTAATTTGTAAAATGGGAATCATAATGTAAAATGGGAATCATAATTGTACCTAACTCGTAAGATTATTGCAGATTCAGCGAGTTAATATTTTTTAAACTCTTAGAACAGACACAGAGTAAATCCTGCATAAATGTTTGCTGCTCTTATTATTATCTTGCCTTATACATTCATTACACTCCTAAAATATAAATATACACTCACTGATGGTGATCATTCCACGTGTGCTCTGGAAAATGGAGTCAGAAATGTCAAGACCCAGAATTCCAAACCTTTATTTCAAGTAGGGTTTCAGACTCCCACTAAGCAACTCCACCCCATTCTCACATTCCTGAAAAAAGGCCCAAAGGATTACCTTGGGTCTGCTGTATTCTCTTTTTAAACGTGATGGGTCACCTCCTTCTTGAACTAGAGGTATCAAATGGTAGAAAATCAAGAGCAGTGAGGACACAGAGTTTGGATATTCAAAGCTACGGAAGGACTGGAGATGGATTTTCAAATATGTAAGTCAGAAAACAGTTTCCTATCCTCTGGAAGCTTACCTGATACTAAGACAACAAAACACTTTATAATAATAGATTATCACCTAGCTAAAGGACAGAGCCTACCATGTAGGAGATTGAGACCCAGAGAAGTAATGTGGTTTAATCTTTGATCATACAACAAAATGGGCTTCTTTAGATTGCCCTGGCATATGACCCTAGTTGGAGTAGCCTCAAACCTAGGATATTTGGGACAATAAGATATACATTTATAAGCATACGTTACGTGTGGATAAATAAACGATTCGTATAGATAATCATAGTACCTAACTTTTATCATGCTCCAAATCCTATGCATCAGGAAATTCTGTTGGCTGTACTCCAGAATCTGATAGTTTCTTAACACTTCCACCATTACCACCTGACGCTGACCTTCATCAGCTCTTAACTGGACTTCTGCAATGGCCTTCTGACTGCTTCTACAATTATCCACTGTGTTAGTTTCAGAGGGCTGCATAACAAAGTATCACAAATTGGGAGGCTTAAAGCAACAGACACATTTGTTCACAGTTCTGGAGGCTTAGAAGAAGCCCAAAGAGAGGTTGTTTGGGATTGGTTCCTTCTACAGGCTCTGAGTGAGGACCTCTTGTCTAGCTTCCCTAGTTTCCGATGGTGGCCAGCAGTCTCCCCCTTCCATGACTTGCAGATGTATCAATTCAATCTCTGCCTCTGTCCTCACATGTTCTCCCAACGTGTCTGTGTGCCTGCCCGTGGCTGCCTTCCCTCTGTGTGCCCAAATTTCCTTCCTCTTAAAAGGACATGAGCTGTTGGATTAGGGCCTACCCTCCCCTTGAGTCTTTATTCAAATCTGAGCTTCTCAGTGAGGCCTACCCTGACACTTTTATTTAATACTGTCAACTTTCAGCTCGATGCCTGTGGCCCAAGTGGCTAAGGCACCAGCCACGTACACCCAAAGTGGTGGGTTCGAATCCAGCCCAGGCCGCCAAACAACAATGATGGCTGCAACCAAAAAATGGCCAGGCGTTGTGGCGGGTGCCTGTGGTCCCAGCTACTTTGGAGGCTGAGGCAGGAGACTCGCTTGAGCCCAGGAGTTGGAGGTTGCTGTGAGCTGAGATGCCATGGCACTCTACCCAGGGGGATAGCTTGAGGCTCCTGTCTCCAAAAAAAAAAAAAATACTGCCAACTTTCAACCTCTCCAGCACTACTACTATGCCTTACCCTGTTCAAATTTTTTTGTAACACTATTTTCTTTTAATTTTTTTTTTTTAATTTTAGGGATAAGGTCTCAATCTCTGCTGAGGCTAGAGTACTAGCCTGAGCTAGTGGTATGATCATAGCTCACTGCACCTTCCAACTCCTGGGCTTAGGTGATCCTCCCACCCCAGCCTCCTGAGTAGATGTGACTACAGGTGCATGTCACCACCCAGTTCATTTATTTATTTATTTATTTATTTTTGAGACAGAGTCTCATTCAGTCGCCCTGCAGTTGAGTGCCCCAGGTGATTCTCTTGCTTCAGCTTCCCAAGTAGCTGGGACTACAGGCGCCCACTATTTTATTTCCTAACATACTCTATTGTGTTATCCTCTGTTTTCCCTACACTCCTTGTCCCCAGGCTGCACTATGCCATGAGCTCCAAGAGGGCAGGGATCTTTGATTCATTCGTGGATGTATCCTAAGCACCAAGCACAGTGCGCATGGTAACTACTAAACATTTATTTATTGACTGGATGAGCGAATGAATGGATGAATGAATTGAGCTCATACCATGTGCCAGGAGTGTTCCATTCAATGTTCATAACAATCTTATGGTGTAGGTACCATTGTTACCTATATTTTACGGTTGAGGAAACTGAAGGCACACAGAGGTTAAGTAACCGGCTAAACTCATACAATTAGGAAATGGTAGAGCTAGGGTTTGAACATGGCTGTGGAGTTTTTCAATGACCATACAGCATTGATACATGACGGGCATCTGACCACTAACCTTAGGGAGACCTTATATCCAGCTATCTCTTGTTTTGACGTTCACATTTTCCAACAGCAGGCAATGATCAGTAAGAGTTTTCAAACTATTCACATGTCATATTTTGCTAAGATATACTTTGATGATGTTTTGTACATTGCATCATACAAACTCTGGAGTCTATATGGGTTCAAATACCAGCTCTACCAATTAATCACTATATGTATTTGACTACATGGCTTAATTTCTCTGTATTCCAGGTTTTTCATTGGTCATTTGGGAAAAATTATAGCACTTATAGCACAAGGTGGTTGTGAAGATAAACTGATTACTTATATGTAAAGCAATTAGTGCTTGATAAATAGAAAGTACACAATAGGTCTTAGTTATTGGTACCGATAGTTTTGTGCAGCTCACAAATTTTGATACAGTCTTGCCTATAATCTAGAAGTTGTTAGACAAATCTATCCTTATTAGAAGTAGGAATAATAGCTACCTTGGGGTGGGTAGTGACTGGAAAAGAGTACAAGGCAGGCTTTTGAGGTTTGGGTAATATTCTGTGTTCATGTGGACACTGGTTACACGAATGTATTTACTTTGTGAAAAAATAATGGAAATACATACTT